GCAGCAGCAGCAGCAGCAGCAGCAGCAGCAGCAGAGACAAGCGCCTTTATACGCAGCGGCGCAACTGCAGCAAATTCACAATTTGTCTCCTTAAAGTCTTCTGCTGCTGATGACAGCAGCTGCTGCAGCAGCAGCCGCAGCAGCACCATCCGGTGCTGCTGCTGCTGCTGCTGGTTTTGTTGCTGCTGCAGCAGGTAGCAGAGAACACCGCGCACCTCTTGGCTTGCTGCCGTTGGCGCTGCAGCAGCAGCATCCGAAGCTGCTGCTGCATGCATGCGCTTCCCTGTACGACGCCTCTTGCTGCTGCTGCTGCTGCTCTCCTCAACAGCCCCTACTGTTAATCCGCACAGCAGCAGCAGCAACATGCCCTCCTTTGCTGCCGCTGCTTGCTTCTGGTCTGCTGTTGCTGCTGTTCCTGCTGCTGCTGCTGCTGCTGCTGCATCGACCGCTAGCCGCAGCGCCTCATCTGGTGATACAGCAGCACCATCTGCTGCTGCTGCTGCTGTTGCTGCTGTTGCTGCTGTCGCTGCTGTTTTACAAAGGAAGACAACAGAAGCCCTCCAGACGAAAGCAGCAGTAAGACATTGCCGCTCTGCTGCACATCTGCTGCTGCTGCTGCTGCTGCTGCTCCCTAGCTGCTGCTGCTGCAGCACATCCCGTAAGAAGGCTAAGGCCTCCTGCATATCTAACTTGTTGCTGCAGTCTGCTGCAGCAACAAGTGCTGCTGCTGCTGCCCAGCCCTCCGGTGTAACAGCAGCAGCACTTACTGCTGCACCCGGCCTGCCTTCACAGCACTCCGCTGCTGCTGCTGCTGCTGCTGCTGCTGCCTTCAGCTGCTGCTTGAGCTGCTCCCGTGCAGCAGCATTCAATGACTGCAGCAACTGCAGCAGCAGCGCAGCAGCAGCAGCAGACGGGAACTCCCACCCATGTATTTGCTCCTCCAGCAGCGCAGCAGCAGCTGAGCAGCACGCTGCTTCTACACTGCTGCTGCTGCTGCTGCTGCTGCTAACTAAGGCCTGCAGCAATTCAGGGGAAGCAACAGTTTGCCGCAGGGTGTCTGTACACTGCGGCAGCCAGATGCACTCCCGTTGCTGCTGCTGTTGCTGCTGCTGCAGCAGCAGCAGCGCCTGCACGATATGAGCAGCTGCGTCTGCTGCTTGCTGCTGCGGGAGGACAAACAGCTGCGGTGCAGCAGCAGCAGCAGCAGCGATCTTATTGCTGCTGCTGCTGCTACTGCTGAGGAAGACCTGCAGCAAGTCAGGTAAAAGCGATGAAGGGAACTGCAGCTGCTGCAGTTGCTTCTGCTGCTGCTGCTGCTGCTGCAGTTGCTGCAGCAGCAAAGGCATCTCTCTAATGAGCTGCAGCAGGACCTCAGAGAGGGCAGTTTGTGTTGCAGGAGGCAGCACACTTTTTGCTGCTGCTGCTGCTTCCGCTGCTCCAGTACCTGCTGCTGCTGCTTCCGCTGCTCCAGTACCTGCTGCTGCTGCAGTTGCTCTTGCTTCTCCTGCTCCCGCTGCTGCTGTTGCTGTTGCTGCTGCTGCTGCTGCTGCTGCTGCTGCTGCTGTGTCTGCATGGAAGCGCCTCCAAAGGCGGCCGAGCTGTCCTAAGGCAAAGGCACAGCAGCACCATCGCTGCAGCAGCAACTCTACCTCTCCTGCATTTGCTGCTGCTGCTGCTGCTGTTGCTGCTGCTGCTGTTGCTGCTGACACACTGTGTGAGAGAACGATTGCTTCTGCAGCTGCCTGCCAAGCAGCAGAGGATTGCGCTTCTGCTGCTGCAGCAGTAGTTGCTGCTGCTGCTGCTTCTGCTGCTGTTGCTCTGCGGAGCAGCGGCAGCAGCAACCTGATGGCTATTTGGGGGAAGGCAAGTTGCTGCTGCTGCTGCAGCAGCAGCAACGCTGTATTTTTGTTCGTGTATACAGCACAGGCAGCACCCCTACATGCTGCTGCTGCTACAGGCAGCAGCGACAGCAGCTGCTGCTGCGCGTTGAATACACCTGAGGACGGGAGACACAGATCTGCTGCTGCTGCTGCTGCTGCAGTTGCTGTTGCTGTTGCAGCAGCCGTCGTTGCTGCTGCTGTTGCTGCTGCAGGGAGATGCAGGCGGTGCATGCACATCTCTGCTGCCCTCATAAGAGCGTCTAAGGCCTTCAAGCTCTCATAGGAAGCTGGCTGCTGTTGCTGTTGCTGCTGCTGCTGCTGCTGCTGCTGTTGCTGCTGCTGCTGTGGCACTCCGAAGGCCCGCACAAGGTGCTTCCTTATTTGCTCCAGCAGCAGCACAACTAACGCTCCTGCTGCTGTTGTTGCTGCTGATGCAGTCGCAGAATCTTGCTGCTGCTGCTGCTGCTGCTGCCGTTGCTGCTGTAGCTGCAGCAGCAGCGGCATTGCCATCAGTTCTACGTGTCTTGCCATTGCTAGAGAAGTTGCAGCAATCTGCTGCTCATCTGCTGCAGCAGCGTCCGCCTCCTGCTGCTGCTTCTGCTGCTCTTGCTGCTGCTGCT